TGAGATGCCTACTTGGAGCTGGATTTAGCGCTGCTGTCATACCCATGATTGAGGCAATAGGAGCTGGATGGACCTTTACTATCTTCGGGGCATTGTATCTTGTTTTTACCCCTTTTCTTTTTCTTGTGAGAGCTCGGGGAATAAAATGGAGAGCAGAGCTTAGGATGAAGATTGAAAAGAAAAAGGAGGCAGAAGAGGTTTCATCTCCTTCGTCGTGAGGGAGAAAAGGGGTAAATAACAGTACGAGAAGAATATAGATAGATGCTTGATAGCTAATGTAATGAAGAATGAACATGAAATAGAAATGAGATTCTATGATATTTGAAAGGATAGCCGTAATACTGAGCATGTTCCGGAACTGTTACGAAATCATCGCAGCCATAGAGGTCTTGAGCCTCCATGACCTCCCCGAATGGCAACCGCAGCACATCCAGCAAGACTATCAAAGTAGAAATGTCTCCCCGTGATACCTGGGCCATAATGAGAGTACTTTCCCGAGTTTGTCATGATAGAATTGGATGTGGCCCTGGAGACGATTGGCTCATCAATCATGCACCAACAGGTGTCGTTGAGAAAGCGAACGCCAAACCCTTCGAGCTCGGTGATCAGACCTGCCTGACTTGCCAATGAATGGGTTGAACGACCACAAGTTATCACCACAGACACATCCTTGTTCTTCACTTGACCGCGACATAGTTTGGCAAACTTCCTCACCTCAGCGAACGAGAAGTGTGGGTTACCAAGGGATACCAGATCGACTGGCTGAGGATTCTTTATGGCGCTGTTTAACTTATCCCAGCAGCCGACCAAGTCGTCAAGACTGACTTGGAAGTGAGGGAGATTTTGGCCTTCGTCTATGACTGCATCTAGATCTGGTGCCTCAGGAGTAACGCCGACGATGTGAAACATTGGAGCGCTAGATGTAGTCGCAAAGCTGGCGCCGAATGACTTGAGGTCATCATTTGATGGCTTCAGTGAGTCAATACCAACAACGGCTGGTATACGATTACCAGACAGTATGCCTACTTGGTACCCTAGCAACGGATAGAAAGCATCATCGACCGAAGTCAAAGGAAACCCTAGCTTGACAATCAAACAAGCCTTCCTATTCTCCTCAACATGAGGACCGCCCTTGGGAGCTCGGCCAGTGAGTGCAATAGAAATATCGAGGAAATCAGGATACTTCATAGTTCGGGCTCCGAGAACACTGTTGGCATAGACAACAGCGTTCGACTCTGCCCAAGCAACTTGCTCGCCGAGCTTAGGCGCGCTATCAAGCAAATAGGGGGCGCAAGTGAACGTAGGCCGGGCGCCCATGTCTGTGTATGCCTTGCCCAGCTTTTCAGCGGCTTCGCCAGGTTTCGGATCAACCCCCAATTTGCGCCATCGTTTTTGATCAACGGAAATGGAGTTGAGAGTGGTTGGTACACGAACTTCGCCTCCAAGGTCACGAAGTCTCTCTGCGAATGCTAGCGAGCCTGGACCTGTGTAGACACACCCGTCTACATGCACTTGAGTAACATCCATTAGCTCCTGTGCTCCTAACAACTCGGCCATCCGCAGAATAATACGCATCGAAACTTTGGAAGCCTCGCCATAGGCACCCTGAAGAATGCTGTGATCGAGACTTGAGAGCTGCACCCCACAGCGTAGATCATCGTCTCGAGACTCTACGCTCAGAGGTTCTGGAAGTTCCTTGCTGGATATATTACCGTCTTGCACGTAAACTAAACGACCGTTTTGTTTGAGGATCTCCTTGAACTTTGCCGGGCCGAGAGTTATTACTGGCAAGTTTTTGCCGAATATCTCCTCTGCGATCATCACACCCAACGTAAGGATATCTTCACGCCTTTCGAAAAGAATTGCATTGGGGCACATTCCATTGAGAATAAGCTCCAGCATGGCTGTACTCCCGGAGCAGGAGCCACGACCAGCAGGAATGGCCAAGACGGCCCCGCGAAGATGCTTTCCGCTCAAGTCATGGTGCCGATCGATGATTTCGCCAGTGAGGGGATTGACACCTCCCCAGAAACTCAACTCGAGATTACTGGCCACCAGTATCCCGGAAGCTCTACCTTTAACATAGGCATGTCCGGTGAGAAGGAACTCGTCATCAGTGATCGCCATGACTGCTTGATGTTTCAGGGGCTAGCAATTTCTTGTTCGAGGGAGAAAAAAAAGTAACTAGTGACAGGTTGACCGCACAAAATAGCGCCAGGCGCGTCAAGTAGGCCAACCCATGTTTACTTCACCCGGCCCGAGTTGCACGGCTGGCTTCCCGAGCAAGAAGAGGGGATAGATAAAGGGTGGTTGAACTGCTCCGGAGTCGGGCTTGGTTCGTATATGGAGAGTCACGTGCATCCCACATAGCGAAATCCACAATATTTTGACCAGGATTTTGCACGTTTTGCCTACGACCATCTGATAGTGGAGAACCACACTATCACCATGTATGGCTGGTTGACTCAGGTGAAGCTATTCTGGTGTGTTTCGGGATAATTCTTCCCTTCTTCCTGGTTCAATTCTCACTCGCTCAGCCTGACCTTTGCACACTAGAACCGCCAATTTCCAGTCAGCATGGAGGAGTTAGTGCTGGTCTGCAACCTTCTCTCCTGGCTCTGGTTCTTCGTCAAATCGGTTTTGATTTACCCTCTTGTATCGACACTGATACTAATCTTTACGGCTGCCGCTTACCGTCTATTCTTCCACCCGTTTTCTTCAGTCCCAGGACCACGGCTCGCAGCAATCTCAAGCGTGTGGTATGCAGTACAAATACGGAATGGGCAGGCCATCTCCCTTGGAAAATCTCTGCATAAAAAGTACGGACCTGTCGTACGGGTAGGCCCCAACGAGCTCTGGTTTAATACTAAAACTGCCTTTAAAGCTATCTACAGTACGTCGTTATTGTAACCTTCAAGTTGGACTACCTAACACTCATTTTGCTAGGCAATGGAAGCGGATTCGAGAAGTCTGATTTTTACTGTAAGAAGTGAACCCCCTCCTCACAAGTGTGGCGGTTTCTGATAATCTTCTCTGGTGAATAGTGGGCACGACTCTTTCAAAGCCAGTGGTTGATTGGAAACTGCAAGTTCACTCAGTCGACAGTTTAGATCTGTTGTCTGAACGAGATATGAGGCGGTACCGAATGCAGAGACGACTTATCGGCCCAATTTACCGCCCTGCAAATGTAGCAAGGCATGAGGCCTCTATTGACCGAGCTTTAGGCCAAGTCTTGTCGCGCTTTCGAGAGATGAACGGCCGCGAATTCGACCTCAAGGAATGGGTACACATCACTGTTGTCGAATGCCTCGGAGCAAGTGTTCTGTCCTGGTCTCCGGGCATGTTGAAAAAGAACACTGACTGGGCCACGAGCACCCACAGCTATCAAGGCTGGAGGCGCAAGGCGGTTTTCGGAATATTCCCCTTGGCCGCCAAACTGCAACTTCGCTATAGGTCGTTTGGGAGGTTTTTCGGCAACGCTTGGAATCTGACTTTCCAGCCTCCACCCAACTTTCGAGCATTCTTCCCAGTGAGTCCGTCCACGAGAACTTCTACATTAGTATGAAACTCTAACCCATACTTGCTTATAGGATGTGAATAAGAGAGTGTCTAAGCGGATAAAAGCGTTCCACCGGGGCGAAAAGGGATGCCAGGATCTTGCGGAGGATTTGATTCAGCTTCATCGTGACAAGCCCGAGTTCTCGGACTCGTATCTGCGCAAGATGATTATCACAAATTTCGGTGCTGGGCATGAGACCATGGCATCAACCGTTATTTCTCTCATCACAATGCTTGGCTTGCACCCAAATGTCTATGCCCGCCTGGCAATCGAGCTGAGACAGCACTTTGGACATGACATTGCCTCATGGGCAAGTGCGCCCAGTTTACCATATCTGCAGGCCGTTATAAAAGAGTCTCAGCGGCTGAACCCAGTCGTCTCAATGTCCCCTCCACGTAAAGTACCATCGCCTGGTATATCCCTGGACGGTTATTACATTCCGACAGGGGCAACTCTTGGATGTAACCCGATCGCCCTCCACCGTAATGCAGATATTTGTGGACCGAATCCCGACTTATTCGACCCTGAGCGATGGCTGAAGGATGATGGGCGTGCCAAAGAGATGGAGATGCATAGCCTTAGTTGGGGTGGGGGTGCTAGGACTTGTCCAGGTCGGCACTTGGCAGAAATGATGGTGTGGAAGATAGTTGCAGGAATAGTGATGGCCTTCAAGATCGAGGTCATAGTTCCCCCGGAAAGAGAGATGCCAGCATACTTCTTGTCAATGATGACGGGCGTCAAGGCACGGCTTCACCCTGTCGATCAGGGGAAATTTAATTAGAATCGGTGTGTTATCCCATTGTCTCGGCTCATACACTTCATTTTGCCCCCCCCCACGTGTATAGAACTTTCCTCCGAAACTCCCTTATCAAATGGTATCGTTTTAGATGATTCGCCGACCTTTTGCCCTGTGGTTTGCCATTTCTGCATACGCGTACAGGATGAATGCCTACAGTGAAAGACACCTCAGACCGCTCGTCCTCACTCTCTCCTTTGCCAAATTGCAAGTCAGTGCCAAGACGGCTGAAACAAATGCACGCGGCCATGTGATCAAAACAACGGCACGCTAATGCACAGTATTCCAGCCGCTGAGGGGAGACTCGTAAGCGACATAGTCCAACCAATAGGGATATTACGATCCATATCACATAAGTCTGTTCACTTTCGTGTGAGAGGTACAGTGTTAGCATTTGGTGGCTTGCCAAGATGAGGAGGTTGATTCAGCCGTAAATATGAGTTATCGTTGGTCTAGGCCCTCGGCTTTCATCAGCATGCATGAATGACACTCCAATGACAATGGCTATAATGGATATGTGGCGGGTAGATAACGAACGATCCTAGGCACATTGCATGTATATTATGCATAATATAAAGCCCGGTCCCATCTCATCGTTCTGCCCCTTGGAGGCTGGCTTCTCTTCACCGACTTGTGTAGATCATCATGATGAGAAACCTATTTTTCCGAGCGCAAGAATGGGGTTGTATAACTCTCACATTGGGATTCCTTGTGTTAACCCCTGTAGCCCAACAGGCTTCATCCACGACGCAAGCTCCTGACCAATATGCTCCCAACTTCATAGGCTATGTCTCTAGCACGGGGAGCTGTAAGCCAAAAGAACCCGATTTTTTTCACACCAGAGTTAACCATATGATTTTCCCTAGATGTCCGAATAACCTGTGCGCCAGAACTCGTCTACTCGTCATCTGGCAGCTACGCAGCTTGCCTGAACATGAGCCACACGCGCACAGCCATCGCGACAACTTGTGTGAGCGGTTCCATGCCGGTGTATCCACGTAGCACTGTCACCTGGTATGTCGAGTAATGAAGAAGGAGATCATAGACAGTAAAGAACCATGACTAATTCTGCCTGTTTCGTAATTCCAGCCCTGAGACAGCGCCTCTCTGCGCATGGGATTACGTGAATTCGAACTTGAAAGACGAAGTTCCTCTCACAATGATCGGTTGTGGCACTACCAGCGATCCCTGGGACTACTACCGGGAGACAACTACCAGTGCATCGTCTGAATCGACGAGTAACCAGGGCGATTCTAGCACCCTGGAAACAGTCACAATGTCAACTTCTAGGGAAACAAGTCCGTCCTCTGATACGCCTACGCAAGACAGCCCGTCAAAACAGACAAATCTCGCCTGGATCGCCGGTCCTATTGTGGGTGGGATTGCTGGAATCGCAATCATTGCATTGTTGGCATGGATTGTCGTACTTCTTCGGCGAAGGGCCACCAGGTGATGACATGGCTTCTCCCTGGTGGCAGATACAACATTGGGTTCTAGGAGCGCGGAACCATGGAGTCCCTACAATAGACAATAGTGAATTCGACAAAACCGAAAGTGGTCTATGAGGGCTAGCTTGATTTGGTAGTGGAAGTCAATACTTAGTTTAAGGCATATAATCTACAACCATTTTTGCCCCTTGGTAGTATACAGAGGATTATTGGCGTGACAGACTAGACTCTTGCTCAGCTTACTTACCCGCCGAGAATTACATTATCGGAACTGGATCACAGCGCATAGTTCAAATCCTCTGTTCCAGTTTGAGTCAGTTGCTGGGTCATGTTGATCAAGGAAGCTCAATATTGGGGCACCATTTAACCGAGCTCTCGCTTGCTCGACTCAATCAATGACAGAGCACAGCAACATATCGTCAAAGAAGCAAGAACAAGATTCCAAATACAACGACGTTGTCGGTGTTTTTGGGGCAGTGAGGTATATTTTGTAGCAATGCACGAGTTTGGGGTGATATAATTAGTGGAGAAGATGATGATTATTCTGAAGACTTTCCAATGTTGTAATAGGCAATTCATTTCGTAAGCAATGTTGTATTATTTTTCATCATATACCAAATATCAAAGCTCCCTTCAACTATAACTCGCAGCTAAGCTGTGACCAACCAATTCCAAGCTCGAGGCAGCGTCTCTTACCTAAATTCGGGATATTGCTTCGACATGAGCCTTTCGTCTGCACCCGGATAAACTGTTTGAGCATCCGCCATGTGAACATAAGTCATTTGAGGATCCACAATTTGGACATCCGACATCTGAACATCCGTCTTCGGCCACTGACCACCGTGGCTGTCCTCTGTCACAGGCACACCAGCCCTGATATCCCATTTCTGAGGGCCATCCTGCACCGAAAGAGCATGCTTGAGAACATGCAGCTTCTCATCGGCCACACGGGCAAGGTGCCCCTTAGAACCAGGCACGAAGCGGCCGAAGAAGTCCATGATCTCGGTGATGTAGATGCTGACGATGGCAAGGAAGACCGTGATGATGACGATTACGAGCGTGCCTGCCAGACTGAAGCTCTCGATGTCGGCCGTGCCCATGATCAGCTGGCTGTTGCACTGATCCTGAAGCTTCTTGAGGATTTCGTCGCTGACTTCATACTCGTTCTTGGTATTGGGGTCGTTTGGCTTGAGCACCGGCAGGCCTACTGCGTCGTCCGGCTTGCTGACGTATTCGGCTACGCTCGCCTGGAACTTGGCCAGTTTTGTCTGGAACCATGTCGTTGCCTCGATGTGCCATTGGTTATCAGGTAATCCCGTCGACTCGTGGTTGCGGTAGACATGGTCGCTGGCAAAAAGTGCTAGGAAATGGGTTAGCATCGGTTGCAGCGAGATGAGGCATTCGAAACCTACAGGCAGAGCCCAAGTTGCTGACGATCGTGTTGATATTCGTCTGCTGCATATGGATGGCCATTCGTGCTGCGGTGGCAAGTTGCGCATCGTTGAAGCCCATGTCATTATTGGTATCGTTGAATACGGCGGCGTAGAAGTCCGCGTAACGGGCCCAAGGAGAGCATTTTTCCTTCTCGGGATTGCATATCATGTATGAATCGACGCACACCATAGGGACCATCGAGTAGTTTGGCTTATAGGGGTATCTGCTTGAGGCACTCGGGTCCCGGATATTGGCTAGGAAGAACGGGTCGTTCACCGGAGCACTGTATCTCATCCAGTTCTGGGAGTTTAGAAGGAGAGTGAGATCGCCGTCCTCAACTGCAAATTCGTCGTAACGATTCCACAGGACCGAGTCGTTGCTATAAAAGGTGCTATCCGTGAAGTCTCTGAAAATCTAGCATCAGCATCGGAGCAAGTTCAATATTTGGGGGACAAGAGCAAACAGCCATCTACTCACACTATTTGATAACCAATAGAAAAGTTAGTTAGGGCATAATTATACCGATAGGTGTAGCCCCAGTTTCCATTCCCTGACTGCCCCATCCAAATGTAAACCTGGTTGTTACTAGCGTTCCAATAGCCATTCAGGTTAACCATGGTGCAAGTTGTCTTCGCTCGTGTCGATATTCGGTCATGTTCTTTGGCGTTAATTCCGAACTCGGTGTGAGAGTTGAGCTCGCCAGACTCAAAGTTGATAGTTGCTCCTTTGAGGCAGAGGGTCTGGTTCTGGAACGGGCAAGACGCATTGAAATTGGCGGTGTACGGCAGAGCATCTGTGACGAATGTTGACCTGACACTCTTAGACCTAGTGGTGCTATCCACGTCGTAGAAATTAATGGCATAGTTTCTTCCATCGATGGTGTCATTGACGATCTTGTTCTTTCGTATCATATCTGTTTCGACATCGGGGTAGGTGCCAGAGAGGGGGAGAATTCCACAGCCCCGATCCCGTGCGAGGGCGATGCCACCGCCATCTTTGTTGATGGCGACCTTGGAGGCGAAGATGGATGCTACCAGAATGCCGCCGTAGAGCAATAGAGTAGGGATGAGAACCCAGAGTGTGCGGAGTGCGATGTTGGGGACCTTCTTCTTCCTCCAGGCGCGCCAGAGCTTGAAGAATTCGGCGACGCTGGCGAGCGGGGTCTTGGCGTTTCGGAGAAGGATCTGCTGTTGAACGTCGAACACGTCGTTGTTGTGCCGGGCTCGTACAATCCAGCTGTGGATGATGAGAGAGACGATGGTCCAGGCGCTGGCACCCGCAACTGTCACCAAGACAGTCAAGAACGAGAGGAAGACATTACCATTGTTCTTGCTCATGGTAAATCTCCCCCGATCAGCAGCTGACTGGGAATAGTCCTGCCATGAGCCGATGTGGAACTGATCCATGGTGGCTTCGTGCTTTTTTGGCTCTGATTCAACCTGAAATACGCAGCATAACAGCACAAAGGAGGGACGGTTTTCGAATGCCCCAGTGACGACGGGCAGGATTAATAAATCAGCAAACTGATCCACAGGCTAGGGCAGGCGGTTATGCATCCTCAGCCGATTCTAGCTTAAATAGAAAGCCTGCAAGTCCTCGAAGCGGAGGGCCTGCAATCTGCCTTATTACGGGTCATAGTTACAAGGTCTGGTAAGCAACATCCAGGTAACCCCCATGTTAGTTTCATTGCTGGTTGCCTTGCGAAAAATTATTCAGCACAACCCTTGACGAAGCCTCGAGGGGAAGTCTTCTCGTCACGAGTCCTTATCCTACCCGGGCCAACAGCCTTTCCCCCTTCCTAGAAGCAAGGTCCTCTTTTGCTGGTTTATTGGGCTTTGAATCGAACAAAGGATTGTACTCAGGGCTGGAGAAGTCTAGTTGGATTGGTTGGGTTTAACAAGTGTGGTCCACATAGCGCCAGTCTGACGAATATCTCTCATCGATTGAGGGTTAGTGCTGATCTTCGACGGGTACCGGCACTGGGTTTAAATGGTCCCAGAATCCCTCTGGATATTTGGGAATGCCGAGATCCTGGCTCCTCCTATTTCAGCCCTGTTCTGCGCTGACGCCTGAGAGTGCAATTGTAAGCGGAAACAAAACGTTTCATGAATAAGCATTACACGTGTAGCCGCTCCACTGAGTCCGTGCTTCAACCATTGACATAACCCATACTCCCTTTGGGTAATAAAGCTTCTCCATAAGAATGGGTCCTGGTCTATGTATATATGTATGCATATTTATGGCCCGGAGTATTCCACTTATTTCACCATGGTCTGGAGATTCAAGACTATCTTCCCATTCCCTCCTCTTGTGATTAAACCTTAAAACTAACCGTGAAACTGCTGAGTATGTACATAATCCAGTACCTTGCGTCAAGCAGCATTGCTTCAATATCTCGCACTGCGAGTTGACCAGCTCCTCCCTGTCGGCTGCTTACACAGTATGGGGCAGCTTCTGCACTCACTATGCAAGCTGACGGTGCCGCGTAACCGATTCGTCTGGTAGCGGGTGATAGGCATTCCCAATTTGCCAGACTATTGATTCCAGCCCGGCGCTTACTGGCGTCAAGTCGGAGCCGGTATCACACAGTGGTGGCAGACAAGGTCAAATAAGGATTCCGATTTAGGGTGAGGATTCAAGATGCGATAAATAACGAAGAAGAGGCTATGGCTCTCATTGGTGCAAACGAGTGGTTGGGCCCAAAAGATTTGCAACACCTTTTCCAACTGCGGATGTTTCCCTCCACATCACCTGTGACTCAGGCCTAGGATCAGGCTGCCCAGCTGACCCTTCAGCTGGTCGCCTCTGCCTACCGTAGCAGGACTACCTATGTAGGGATGCCTCCTCCTACAGAGATGGGGGACTCTCTATAAGGTCCCGGAGCCCTTGAGGCCCGGAAAGCGCAGTGATGCAAATCCCCAAGGGTTAGTTAGCCAGCTGGTTCAGAGCCCCCCTGGCATAGCTACTGGTCACGGCCTGCAGCTAGTACTATCCCTTGTGCTATTCTAGGGAACTGGAGCCCTCAAGTCTTGGAGTCGAGCCAGGTCGAACTATGGACATCGTGCTCAGTCTTGATATGACTCAATGGTTTACGGACGTCACTGTCGCGGCCAACGAGAAGGGATTTTGCTGCCTTCATATGCTTTGATCGTTAGGCCAGAAATGTCTGCAGTACCAAAAACCATTATAGAATACTGGCCTCGCATTGCTTATATCCCAAAGTGTTCACAGGGCAGGGTCGCGATCAAAGAGATGGTACGCCAGTATCGCTCAAACTCAGAGCAACACCAAATCCTCAACCACAAGTTACCTGGGAGCAGGGCTCAGTGGTTTTCCATATTTTCGGTATTCCCCCCTTCCAAATACCTCTCTACTTAATACGTTTAGATATTCTAGTCCTCAAATTATAATATCTATCATTCACAATAATATTCATATTGTTTTGTCAAGGTTTCAATGATCTCCCAAGAAAATAAGTCCTTACTTTTAACTTTATCGTGCTCTCATGATGGAAATATAGTATTGTTCTTACTTTTACTGGAATTTAGAACCGACTATCTCAACGCCCCTT